ACAATGGTCTATTACTCAGCCATAAAAAGAAACGAAATTGAGTTATTTGTAGTGAGGTGGATGGACCTAGAGTCTGCCATACAGAGTGAAATAAGTCAGAAAGAGAAAAATACCATATGCTAACACATGTATATGGAATCTAAAAAAAAAAAAAAAGGGTTCTGAAGAACCTGGGGGCAGGACAGGAATAAAGACGCAGAAGCAGAGAATGGGCTTGGGGACCCGGCAAGGGGGAAGGGTAAGCTGGGACGAAGTGAGAGAGTGGCATGGACTTACATATACTACCAAATGTAAAATAGATAGCTAGTGGGAAGCAGCCGCATAGCACAGGGAGATCCGCTCAGTTCTTTGTGACCACCTAGAGGGGTGGGATAGGGAGAGTGGGAGGGAGTCGCAAGAGGGAGGAGATATAGGGATATATGTATATGTATAGCTGATTCACTTTGTTATAAAGCAGAAACTAACACACCACTCACTGTAAAGTAATGATACCCCAATAAAGATGTTAAAAAAAAAAGTGAAATGAGTGTAGTGGTTACCGTTAGGGGTGCTAGTGACTTGAAAAAGGGAGCACAAGGCAGGGCTTGTGAGGCTTGTGATAATCTGTTTCTTCACCTGGATGCTAGTTACATAGTATGTTTACCTTGTGGAAATTCATCAAGCTGTACACTTAAGATTATGTACTTTTGGGCTTCCCTGGTGGCGCAGTGGTTGAGAGTCCGCCTGCCGATGCAGGGGACACGGGTTCGTGCCCCGGTCCGGGAAGATCCCACATGCCGCGGAGTGGGGGGGCCCGTGAGCCATGGCCGCTGAGCCTGCGCGTCCGGAGAGGCCACAACACTGAGAGGCCTGCGTACCGCAAAAAAAAAAAAAAAAAAAAAAAGATTATGTACTTTTACGTATATACTTCAGTGAAAATTAAAATAGAAAAAATATATTACATAATGAGAACGAAGGATATATTTAAAAAGAGAGAGAAAGCTTAGCTCCAGCAGTGTCATACATTCATTGACTGTTGATTTACTGAGCACTTTACTGTATGCCAGGTGGTGAACCATTAAGCATGGCTTTTCTTAGATTATTTTATTTGATCTTCACAAAAACCCAATGTAATAGATTCTATAATTAGCCCCATTTTACAGACAGGGGGAACAGAGACTCAAAAAAAAAATCAAGTTATTTATTCCATGTCACACAGCTGCTAAATTGAGAAGTTAAAATTTAAAACCAGGTCTTTCTACTGTAGGGCCAACACTCTTAAAACAATGCGGTATGGTGTAGTGATTAAGAGTACTCATGTAAAGTGATGATGGATCTGAGGTGTATGTCTTTCTACCTACAAGGAAATACTCTGTTTTGAGGGGTGGTGACTAGAATGTAGTACCAGCAGGCAGACAGTTGGCAAACACATGAACTCTCAGGTTATACTTCATTTCTAACAGCCAGTGTTTTAGGTCCCATTTATGACTGGATCATTGAAAGTATGACAAAGTCTTGACTGAACTTTAGCTCCTGCGGCGGGACAATCAATATGTGAAATCCTTAGGCATTTTTATCTGTTAATGGTCTGATAGCCGCTGATCCCATTTTTATAGAAACATCTGGTTCATTTAAAGTATAAACAGAATAATTTCATTACTTTGCTGATTATTGTTTTCTGTTACTGGCATTTCTGGTCTTTAGCCAGAATACAGTACTCCGGTGGCATCCAACTCCAGTCCGTTTCCGCCTTTTAAAAGATAAAAGACAAATATATAAGAGATGATGGAGTGAGAGGTTTTGGATGTTGGGATCAGAAGTGGCGTTTGGTCAAGCTTGTAAACCCACCTATTTATTAGCTCTCAAAATCTTACTCCATATTTCACAAGTTTTCATTTTCTGAGATACAAACAAATAACCTACATAAAACAGCCCGGAAGTCCCCCAAGGCCCGTGTCCAACAAGGTTCTTATTAATCATTTTTGGTCTTATAGATAACCATGGCATTTATGCTAAAAAACATCCAACTCTGTGTACACCAATGTTTGCTGTTTATGGTGTCCACTCCTTCTATGTAAATAGAATGGCTTGGGGTTTCCCTGGTGGTGCAGTGGTTAAGAATCTGCCTGCCAGTGCGCCAATGCAGGGGACAATGGTTCAATCCCTGGTCCGGGAAGATCCCACATGCCGTGGAGCAACTAAGCCCATGCACCGCAACTACTGAGCCTGCACTCTAGAGCCGGCAAGCCACAGCTACTGAGCCCGCATGCCACAACTACTGAAGCCCTTGCACCTAGAGCCTGTGTTCCGCAACAAGAGAAGCCACCACAATGAGAAGCCAGTGCACCACAGCAAAGAATAGCCCCCGCTCGCCGCAACTAGAGAAAAGCCCGTGTGCAACAGTGAAGACCCAACACAGCCAAAAATAAATAAAATTTTTTTTAAAAAAATTTAAAAATATAAAGGAGAATGGCTAATGCCATTCTTGGAAATATACTTTCAGCTGTGTATCTGGAATCATTTGTAAAGAGGCCTACAGGTAGGAGTTAGCCTTTAGAAATTAAGGCAAGTCTGTGCCTTTAATAGCAGAAGTTGATTATCCAAATTTGATACAGTTTTATGGCACATTCAATATGTCTAGGCAGGTATGAACTCCACAGTAGCATGGGTCTCCTTGCCACACTGGGTTTGCCTCAGTCAAAAATGCTAAAGATCCATCAAGTTACTTTGAAAAGTACAATGCAGGGGACGCGGGTTCAATGCCTGGTTGGGGAACTAAGATCCCACATGCCACTGAGCAACTAAGCTCACACGCTGCAACTACTGATCCTGTGTGCCACAACTAGAGAGAAACCCACGCGCCACAACTAGAGAGAAACCTGCATGCCGCAACGAAAGATCCCGTGTGCCGCAACTAAGACCTGATGCAGCCAAAAAAAAAAAAAAGTACAAGTACCTAGTTGTACCTACCACGTTGTGGTTATCCTCTAAAGAAAATCAACTTTTAGAGTAGCAAAAATTTCAGTTAATTTCTGAATCTTACCCTGGTGTTCCCCAGCTTCAGACTTGAGTATGGTCCTTGTCTCCTTTTTCCCCCTCATACCCCATATTCAGCCTATCAGCTAATTCAGTTGGCTCTGCCTTCAAAGCGTATGTTGAATCCCAATTATTTCTCACCACGTGTGTAGCTACCTTACTAGTCCAAAAGGTTGTTGTCTCTTCCATGGACTACTGTGAAGTAATCTGTTAATTAGTCTCCTAATTTCCATTCGTGTCCCCTGCAGCCTATTCTCCACATAGCAGTGATCCTTTATAAGGTCTCAGATTGTGTCATGCTCAGGCTATGTGCTTCTCCATGTGACCTCTCTCTGCATAGCTTCTCATCCTCCAGACTTCCCTCTCCAGCAGGGTACTCTGAATTTCTTACATGGTGGCTCAAGGTTCTAAGATGGAGTAAGCAGAAGTTGCCTGGACTCAGAAGTCCCAGAATGTCACTTTCTCCATACTCTATTAGTCAAAGGCCAGATGCAAAGGCTAGGACAAACTACTTCTCGATGGGAGGGACAGAATTCATGTTCAGGAAGGGGTGGAATTGTTTGGGGCCATCTTTGGAGATAGCTGCTACCACCCAAATGACCTGGATCATCTGGCTTGGACTACTTCTTCAACTGTTTTTCTTCTTGCTTTGCTCACTTGGTTCTAGCCACCCTGGGCCCTCCTGTTGTTCCTTGAACATGCCATTTAGACTGCCACCCAGGACCTTTGCTCTCAAAATGCCCATTGCCTAGACCATTCTTCCCCCGTGTAACAAAATGTCTAGTTCCCTCATTTCCTTCATGTGTCAGTTCAAATGTCATATCTTTAGGGAAACTATCTCTGACCCCTTAGACTTAAATAATTGTTAGGTTGTTTATTAATTGCTTCATAACAAATTACTACAAACTTAGCAAGTTAAAATAACACCCATTCATTAGCTCACTGATGTCTAGGTCGGAAGTCTGATATAGCATGACTGGGTCCTCTGCTCAGAGTATCACAAGGCTGAAATCAAGATGTCGGCTGGGCTGAGTTCTCATCTGGGGAAAAATCTTCTTCTCAGCTCATTGTTGTTATTGTTGTTGGCAAATTCAGCTCCTTGCCTTTGTGGGATTGAGGTCCCCATTTCCTTACTGGCTGTCTGCTGGGAGCTGCTCTCAGCTCCTAAGGATGACTGAATTCCTAGTCAGGTGATCCCCTTCTCTTTTGCAACCAATTGGAGAAAACTCTGCTTTTAAAGGGCTCATGTCATTAGATCACACCCACTGGAGTAATCTCCCTATTTATGGTCCTGATTTGGGACCTTAATTAAGTCACGGCAGTACCTACATGTTTGTTTGAATAACTGAGAGAGATGCTTGTGCACCAGGGGTCAAGAATTTCTTGGGGGACCATCTTAGATTTTTGCCCGTCACAATAGCATATATGAATTTTTCTATCCCTTTATCCTGCTTTATTTTTCTTCAAAATACTATCTACATTATATTTTCTGTTTGTATGGTAATGTTTTTAGCTTGCTGTACCTACTACAGTGTAAATTACTGATGGTAGAGACTGTATTATTTTTGTTCAATGCTGTATTCCTAGCACCTAGGACAGTGTTTGGCACATTATAGATGCTCAATTAATATTTATTGAATGAATCCATTAATATAGAAGACTTTATGGCATATGATTTTGATGACAGCAGAGATAGGATTTTGGGGTGGTTGGGGGGAGGAAAAGGGTATATTGAGCATTGATGTTATTTAAGCTTTATCTCCAAAGGTACCAGGGTCTCAAATTATTCACTGGCTTTTTTTTGCATGGAGGATTTCTTACTTGACTATTAAAAAATAAGTTGTGGGCTTCCCTGGTGGCGCAGTGGTTGGGAGTCCGCCTGCCAATGCAGGGGACGCGGGTTCGTGCCCCGGTCTGGGAGGATCCCACATGCCGCGGAGTGGCTGGGCCCATGAGCCATGGCTGCTGGGCCTGCGCGTCCGGAGCCTGTGCTCCACAACGGGATTTGTGGAACATCTTATATCCCAAATGTGTCATTACCAACATGGGCACATAAACTCGTATCTTAAACCTATGTTGCAGAGGGATTTCATAACTGCTCTGCCAGGTATGTCTACAGATGTTTGTAAGCCATTAATTTGCCTGGAAGATATGTTACAATGGTAATCATACTAAATCTACAACTCTATTATCTCTCTATTTTAAAAAAAATCTTTGTTGGCTTGATTTTTACAAACTGAGCATTTAAATTGTACCTTCTTGGGATATAAATACAAAAAATCAAACTGTAAATAATAGACTCCTCTTTCCCCCCTCTTCTCCCTGTCTCTCTTCACCCTATTTTTACTCACACGTAGATTTAAATAAAATCTTTTCTGAGGTGTTGTCTGGTTTGAGATGTGTCTTTTATATTGTGTCTTAGTTTTAAGGTATATTAACTAATGCATATGAATTTGGATTTCTATGTGAATTTATCAACCGAATATTTACATTATAGGAATGAATAAGAAACATTTTTAATTGAATATTTTAGAAAGAAGGGTATCTCAGGAGCCTTGTTGTGATATTAAATATGTAAATGCCAGGATTTACAATCTCACTGCTCAGGAACTAAATAGCTATTATAAACTATATATTTTTAAATATATATATATATTTGTACATATACACACAGACACACATATACACACACACACACTTAAAATACTTTGGAGAGTGCTGTGGTTGTTTCACTGAATGCTTGATGGTGATCTAGGATACTGTGTAGGCATCAGTATTTGGGGGAAATGCTGTCTCAGGAAAATACAAGTTTCTCACCTGTGTTAATAGCTTATTTTAAAAGAAAAATATTACAAAAGTGAGTGAATCTCTAAAATAGCTTATCTTGTTTTTATTTTTTTTCAGTTGTTTCCTGATTATAGCACTTATGGGAAATTTAGAAAATTCAAAACAGTTTAAAATATAAAAATAAAATTTACCAGAACCCTACCATTCAGAGAGAACTACTAATATGCTATTAATATTTTTCCTAGGTGTGTATATTTCCCTCATAAGTGTTTGTAACATTTTTTTCTTACTGTATTCTCTTAATGTGTTTTTCTAAGTGTTGGTTCTTTTAAAAATAATTTTTTATAGTATTTGTATTACTTATGGTGATTGAAGCACACATTATTTAAACCCTTTATTGAACATTTAGGTAGTGTAAAATGTTTTTGGCATTATAAACTGTGCTGTGGTGGACATTCTTATTCATCTTTTGGGCATCCTAGGGAAAAAAATACCAGAAGTGGGATTTCTATATTAATGAATTATGAACATATTTTAAGGCTTCTAATATATATGCCAAACTATCCTCTAAGAAAAATATACCAACTTATACCTTCCCCCCAAACTGCATATTACCACTCTGCTTAACCTTTGCCAATTATATCTTTTTAAAAATTTGTTTTTCCAAAATTGGAATTTAAATTGCCCTTTAAAATAAAAGAAATGCCTATTTATATCTTAGAAATAACCATTTTCAAGCTGAATTTGTTCCTATATCTTTTGTTAAGTAGAATAGATTTCTGCCCCTTCTTCACTCATTGGATTTTATTTTAGCCATAGGCAAACAGTTTTCTTTGTGCGAACAATCTGTGTGTACCTCATTACTGTGCTCTTCCCAATCACTGAGACATGTTACAATCTCAAGCATATACCACTAAGAATTGAACAGGAGATGATTAGACTTGTGTATCCTTTGCCTAATACCAATCTCTCATGTATATCTGCTGACCACTTCATAAGACACTAAATCATCAGTCTAATGCTTTATGGCCACTTTAACTTATGAACCTACACCATCTGGCTACATTTAGTAAACGAGACTACTTCAAAAAATGCCTGTAATCCATTAATGTAATGGGTTTGTTTGGAGTGTTAGGTGAAATTACTTCCAAAGACTTATTATAGGGACATAGTGAAAGATCAGGAGCAATTTCATGCCAGCCATTAAAAACAGGAATGCATTTTGGTATCTTCTGATGGTGTAGAAAGTTTCAATATAAAGATGCAGAAATTGTGCCATTACTGTATTTTGTATGATGAACTAATTATTATATCTTTAATTGGCTTATAGTCATGTTTCTTTAATAAGAATTAGGTGATGAATGCATCCATCTGCTTGTGCTTAAATATGAACATGTGATGCCAGCCAAACAAGATCCATTTAATGCTTTCTTTTCCAAATCTGCTGAAAAATGTGACTGATATCCATACAATTTTTATAATTAAAATAATGTTTAAGCACATTTGGATTTTTGCTAATGGCATCCAAATGTGTCTTTGTATGATTCAGGGGAAAGACACAAAATGAAATGTGGTATTCTCTCTCCTGTTTGTTAAGTTTGTGCCTAAGGGAATCAGAGTACGAAGGAATCTTTCTGCACTATTTAAGTCTTTAGCAAACCTCTGATATGTAACCTGTAAAGAGAAATAACTTTGAATGTTTTTGTCTCACTTGTGAGTTAGAACAGCAGCCAAAAGTTAGTGCAAATATCCTATTTTATAGGATTTGTTCCTCTGAGGCTCCAGTACAGATTTGGGTAGTAGAGAATTGTAATTGAGAAGCCCACCCAGTTAACACAGTCCAAGATCTACTTCCACTGTTTTTCTCTGTATATCCTACAAAAATAGTCTCTGAAATTATAAGTTATCTATTGGTCTGGGATTTTTTTTTCCCTTGTTTGGCCAACTGTCATTTAGGCTTTATAGCAGCAACTGTTCTCAAATATATTTTTTAAACATCTAGAATTAAACTCATACTTGAACTTAAACATACTTCTCGGTCATTCCTCTTGGAATGTTTCTATACCGATCTGTATTTCCTTCTTCTCTCCTTTCTGCATGCCCAGAATTCTATAATCCAGAACATTCTGACTTAGTGCCTCTCCCCCAGTACATTTAAAGGATACTTCTTTTACTGAACAGCTTAGGAACTGCAGCAGTAATAGAAACAGAATGAGAGATGGACCTAATATAGAGAATTGGGGTGTGGGGGGTCTGAACCACAGAGTTTGAGATGCCATCCATAGAACATCCCCTAGTGCCGAAATCCATATAGATAGATGTGAATTGTTTCCTGGAATCCTTTTTATTTTTAATGTCTTGGGGGGTTTGCTGGTTGTTAGTTTTCACTTCCTTATCTAAAGGAAGATGGAAAATACTGTTCATTTCTGTAACCTTATAGAAAAATTATTGACACTCATTTTACCCCAGTCTGTTTGAAAAAGAAACTGGACCACACTAGGGACAGTAATGTGCCTTCATAGCAGAATAAATGCTGTTCTGATTTAAAGGACCTTTTGTAAAAAATCATTCACCACTATCTATGTTCTTTTTCTTTGCCTCCTCCCCCCACCAAAAGCTCGGGGTTTAGATCACATCGCTGAGAACATTCTGTCATACCTGGATGCCAAATCACTATGTGCTGCTGAACTTGTGTGCAAGGAATGGTACCGAGTGACATCTGATGGCATGTTATGGAAGAAGCTCATCGAGAGAATGGTCAGGACAGATTCTCTGTGGAGAGGCCTGGCAGAACGAAGAGGGTGGTGAGGCTTTTAACGTTCTTACTGTTACAGAGCTTCAGGACCTGGCCTTTCAGTCTCTGGAATACAGTATTATTGGGAGCCATGAGAACACTTATCTTTTGATACAGTGATTTTGCTGTTTTATAGCAAAAAATGTTAAATAGTGTTCGTGTACTTGACAGTTTTTCTTCTGACCAGTCACTCATAAGTGACACAATAATGTGTTAATACTGCTTTGCAAAAAATCATAAAAAACTGGCCAGCCGTTCTATTTGAAGCATTCTGTTCTCTGGGCAGAGATTGGTATCCTGAAAAAGGGCTGATGGGCAATTTAATAAGGCAAGTAGATGGCTTTGAATCACACAGAAGCCATCAGATCTAGCTTTCCCCTAAAATAATCCAGAACAAATAATTATTTTCTTTTTCAGATTTCTTGCCTTCAGCCCTTGCCTGTGGTGTTTTATCATCTTTGTAATCAAAATTATTTTTATGCCCAACTAGAATAAGAACTCAAGCCATCAGAAAGAGGGAAGATTGGAATTTAGTATAAATCATTGTTTCTTTTTAAGACTCTTATATTTTCTCAAGATTTTACTGCTTAATCCTGAATCCCTTAAGGCATTATATAGTTAGCAGCCCAAGAGATAGTCACCAATTTTGTTGTTCTCTTAATGTAACGGTACCATTTCATTAGAACTTCTGGAAGATGTCTTCTATATATAATTTTCTCTCGGAGGATGTCTCTATAATGTCACTATAAGAAAGTTGGGTGTGAATATTTCATAAATAAAATAAAGGTGACATATTAAATGTTTTAGTTGGGAGATATGCACCAGCAGGCATATGTATGCTCAGTGATATCCTGAGCAATTAATTTTATGAATTGTTTATCGTGGATCATAAAGAGATACAGAACAGTTAAGAATGGAGGATCAGCTTTTCTTAGCAATTTTCATAAAAATATAGTCAGCTCCCTTACTTTTTTTGCATCTTTGAAATTCATTATAGCATAATAAACATAATGACCTCTAAATATTATACCAAGTGCTTCAAGAGATTTCTGTTATTCTGGCTATTAGGAAGACTTTAAAAATTCTCCCAAATTCAATTAAATTAGGAAGCAAATGCCAGGCAGTTTTTGGCTATATAAAAATTGCATGAGTGGGGCTTCCCTGGTGGCGCAGTGGTTGAGAGTCCGCCTGCCGATGCAGGGGACAAAGGTTCGTGCCCCAGTCCGGGAAGATCCCACATGCCGCGGAGCGGCTGGGCCCGTGAGCCTTGGCCGCTGAGCCTGCGCTCTGCAACGGGAGAGGCCACAACAGTGAGAGGCCCGCGTACCGCCAAAAAAAAAAAAAAAAATTGCATGAGTGAAAGTTATTATTTCTCCTTCCCAAATATGTTTTCTTTATTCTCACTTATTTCACTATATAGAAAACTAGAAATCTTACCCTTCATAACTTATTTCATAATTTGGAAATAAACTCTTTATATTGTATAAAAAAGCAAAAAAGTATATAGTTGTATGGCATTCGAAGTCCATCATTTTGCTAAGCATGCCAGGATGAGCCTTAGAAATAGAGGAGGCAGTTGCTTACATGGGAAAATTTTAGGGCAGCTAGGAATATTCCTCCACCCCTCAGGGGAAGGAAAAAAAAAAAAAAGAAACTCCCCTCCAGATAAGTCCTGACCTGAAATTTCAGTTGTAGAGACTTATTTCCATAGCTATAAATGTTTTGTTTCCTGTTAAAATGTACTTTGTTCCCATTTGGACTGTAAATGACAATAAGCCTTTACCACACCTTGAGACTTTACAAAGTCTCTTTTTTTGAAGGCAGGGAGAACAAGAATTAGATGGACAGATCTTGACACATATGTGTGAAAATGCCAAAGATAAATGTAGGCTCCACAGTTTTGCTTAGGGTTGGCCCTAAAGATCTATTATGTTAGTTAACACAGAAGAAAAAAACAAGTAAGATCATTGAACCAGACGGCTTTTTGGCCTTTTAAAAGGGTGTGTGAAGGTATAGCTGAGAAATAATTCAGGATTCAGCACCAGTTATCACTCTTCCCTCTATCTCTTCAACCACAAAAACCCATT